GAATAGATGAAAGAAATAAATGACTGCGGCTGTAGTTAGTTGTGATAATGGTAATTTGTAAAAATGTACCTTTTTTTTTGGTCAGAAATGCCTAGGGAAGTATGTAGAGACCAAATGACATGATACTTTAAATTAAAATATTCTTGGGAGGGGGAAAAAAGAAAAGAAAAACTAACGAGGGAGAGATGGCCACAATTTGCAGGACGCTGATAATTATTGCAGTTGGACAATGAACATAAGGGGATTCTTTATTGTTATTTCCATTTTGTATAACTTTGAAAATTTCCATAATAAAAAGCTGGAAGAAAAAAAATCAGCATTTTCTGACCCATTATGGCTACAAGGATGTGAGCCCTACAGTGAAAGGTGGGGAGAAGAGATGGATGTATCTGGGGGCTCTCTCCCTTTCTCTCTTTCAGAGTTAAAACTTGAGATGGAAACTAGAGCCATTATACAACCCCAGATGTATCAGGAATAATTAGGACATAGAGAAAAAAGATTTAGATAAAAGAGGAAAAAGTGCTTAAGAGGAGCAATGCACCAGATAACCTAAAGATTTAAACATCCAAAGATTTCTTGATTGGCAGAAAATCCCCACAGACTCTAAATCATTAATACATATTTTGGAAAGAAGCTAGGGAGACCCCAAATGAAAACTAAAAACAAATATGACAAATTACATTTCCTACAGGAAAAAAAAATAAACCAAAATTTTGTTTGCTTGTGTCTATACAATGGTGAACATTCAGAAAAATCTTTGAGGGAAACTTTTTAGTTTTACGTAATTTCTCATTGTCATAGAAACACCAATGTTGTTTTGGTTGTGACTAAAGTTCTAAACTGGCAAATGATAGCACATAAATGTTTAGCAAATGTCAACATCTAAATAAAGAACACTGATTGGGTACCTGTTATTTTTCCTTCAGATGCTTATTAGATTTGCAGAGAAGTGGCTTATGACTGTATAAGAAAAAATGCAGTTTCAGTCCCAAACTTAGAACTATGTAGACATGTAAACTTAAGGATGTAGAACACTGTTATTGCTGCCCTGCTACCAGACAATTCCTCATGCCTGAGTCATAAGTAACTACCATGCTGGGCTACATACACCCTCTCAGCAAGCACAGGACAGAGGGGAAGGAATGAACCCCTTCTGGTAGTCAAGGCCACGCTGGGTAGCTTGGGTTCCACATCTTCCATTTGTAACCCTATCATTGGCATAGAGAGTGCTGTGCAAGATTCTATCTTTTCCATGAAGGCTGTCCATAATGGGAAGACTGAAGGAATGTTTGATTTATATCCCATCCAAAACAGATATTAAATGATTTAGAAAATAAAATAACCATGTAACATAGAAGATCACGAGATGATATACTAGTATGTGAAAAAAGCCAATTACAGAGCCCACATATGAATAAATCTGAATACTAGAAGAATATATATTAAGAATACATGCTAAAATGGCTGTGGGTGTAGTTCAGTGGTGGAGGGCTTGTCTAGCATGTGTGAGGCACTGGGTTCGATCTTCAGGACCACATAAAAGCAAGTAAGATAAAGGTATTATGTCCATCTACAACAAAAAAAAATGAGAAATAATACATGCTAAAATGTTGACCATGGCTGTATATGGGTATTATGGACCATTCTCATTTTCTTCTTGGTGACTTTCTGTGCTTTCTCAGTTTTCTCTAATGATTATGTTTTATTTTGAAAACAGAGAACATTATTTTAAAGAAGAGATTACATTTTTTAAATGCACGTTTTAAATCTGTTTTGGAGATAAGTCAGACATTCAGTCTTCTCTTCATGGATGACTTTCATGGAAAGACAGAAAACAAAATCACACACAACACTGAGCATCCATGCAAATGAAAGGGTTCTGAATGGAAGGTGTGCGCTTCTAACAGGCATTTTTAAAGTGCCTATAAACTATGCAGGAGGCTCTACCATATCCATTAAATGTATGTAAGGTCAGGCACCTATAAATAGATTAAGCCAATGAAGCGAATATAGAAAAGGCTTACTCTGAAGTTCTGCTGATCAGAGGGAAAAAAAAATTGAGATGTCCTAAATTTAATTACAAGAGCTGGGAGGATGGAGAGGAGGAGGACAGATGGGAGAGATGAACTGGCTAATAGCTAAGGGACCAAAACAACAAAGACAATTTTGCATTCTCGAATATAAGTTAAAACATTACCTTGAATCCCATCATGAGCCTCTAGGTGCCACTGCAACAATGGCTTTTCCTTATGTCCTATCCTATCCCAAAGCCTTTCCTGCTTGCTGTCATCCACACCTCCCACCTCATCGAGAGCCAACAGAGGTTCAATGTAAGCAACCTGTGCTTTCTTTCCCCAAATTTTTATTATAAAAATGTTCTTAGAAAAATGTTCACTGGACTTAGAACTATCTGTTAGTCTTGTTCGAGGACCTGGTCCTGTGTCTGGTTAGCATCTGTACTAGCTCTGTAAGCACTTCTATTTCAGGGATCCCTCAATGGGAAGAGTTCTGGTGTAGCACTACTGTCTGTGGGCCCACATTCTGTCCCTAAGCTTTCTCATACCAACACCACTGGAGATGAACATTCTAAGTATTCTTGTTTAGCAAAGACACAGAGCTAATGTTCAAAGAGATTGGGTCAATCTCATGGACATCTCAAGATCTCTATGCACCAATTCCGAATGTCTCTGAGCTGATCACGAGTAGATTCATATAAACATTTTCACCAACATGGGGTTACTTATAAAAGGGCAGCACTGTGCAGTGGGCACACAGTAGCCCTGGGCCCCAGCAGCACTGTCTGCAGTACCATCTCAGCCATAGATGGCTCACATCCTGGGTGGTGGCACTTCTGTAGAACAAGGTCATGCTGGAACAATGTAGCCTGCCAGAAGCAGGTTTGTAGTGAAGCCTGGCTGGAGGTAAGGCTGGCAGTGACCAAGACATAGATGTGCAAAAAAGGGGTGTCAGAGTCAGCCTTTCTCTAAGTATAAATTAGGCCCTCTGGAAGCTAAGAGGACTCCCAAAGTCAGGAAGGGACCATTTCACAACAGCATTACTTCTGTCACTTCTTTAAAGCTTATAGAAATGATATTCTACCCAAGTGTATGATATATGCTTTCTTTTTTAAATATTTTCTATCTAGTTCGGCATACCAAGTTAATGTCATAAATAGAATTTTTACTTATTTCTCTGGTTGGTTATTTACATACTTATTTAGATATTATTGTTAATATTACACAAATAGGTGTTTGTGTACATTATTTATTTATTATTTTGCAATCTAGCGCTCTTACAGAACTTTAGCAATCCTTGACATTTCTCCTGGGAAAGAGCACTGGCTAATGCCATAATTACAAGAATGTTCTCTGAGGGCAATGCTGCAGGTTTCCTGTTTTTGGAATGGGTCATAAGGCTTGGGAACAACTCCAAATATAAATTCTGTTATTAACATAACAATGTTAAGTCTCTGTATGTTAATAACATAGACATGATACTTCACACCAAGCATATGATAATGCTTTCTAAAGTTAAGAAATATTTCTTCTATTACTGGGCTGGGGTTATAGCTCAGTGGTAGATTTCTTGCCTAGCACATGTGAGGTGCTGGGTTCTATCCTCAGCACCACATAAAGATAAAGGTATTGTATCCATCCATCTACAACTAAAAAAATATATTTAAAAAAAGAAATATTTATTTCTTCTATTTCTATTAATGTGTCTGGCATATAACTGATGAGCCACTCACAGAGTGTTTTCTAGCAGGAAAAATTGCATTTGTTGCTTTTTAAATGCAGACATGTATTTTTCCTAAGATTATCTGTAAATGCAGATAGTGTGTTTCCAAGAATATTAAATTAAAATGCATCATTTGGTATTCTAAGAGGAAAAGGAAGTTCTGATTAGGAGCTGAAACTGAAATCCAGAGAGGAATGTACAACAGTGAGGGATTCTAGAAAGAAAGACACAGAAACCACTTTGGTGGGCAGATTTATGAACCACCGTTGCTGCCAAGAATTCCGTCCCCATAGCAGTCATCAGAAAAGCTTTTCTTTTTCTCCCAAGAAGGTCAGCTGGAGTCCTCAGGGCTCCGTCTGCTTAGTTTCCAGCAACCTGCAGATCTTCATTCATTAAACTGAATTGCCAAAAAAAATTCCCCCCTCCTATCATCTAACGTTGTCTAGGATAGTATTCATTTGAAAAGTGAATGCTGGGGTTCAAGACCATTAACTTAGAAATGCTTTTATTCTGCAAGACAGACAGGATGTTAGTAATGGAAGGAAGGGCGTCAGGAGGTATGACTCTGTGCCTGGACAACAAGTTGTATTGCTAGGCCTCTGCTGCCAACTATTCTGACCTCTGACCAGGGCTGGGCACATGGCTGAGCTGCATGAAAGTAGGGTGGAAAGTAATGTTCGGACTTCGTGCTGATTCAGCAGGGAGGGAGGCCGGGGTAAGGGAGGACAGGTGGTCTATAAACAGCAGTTGGTTTTGAAGAGTCTATTTATAAGGTGGGGAGATTAGGGAAACAATTTGCCTGCTTGGAAAGCGTGTGGCAGATGCGCACGACGGGGGCCTCCTCTCCTGCAGGCCCCAGCCTCTTGACAAATGGTGCTTCTGACTCCAGTGACATTGACGATCCTTCACAGATGCTAAGACAGAGGAAAAACAAGGGCCCAGGCACAACGCCTGAGAAAAGCTGCTTTTCTGCTGCTGGTAAAAAGCTTTGATAGAGATAACACAAAAATTACTAAAAACTGCAAGTGATAAGCGCTCTCTGGAAAGCATTTCAGAATTTTCCAGTTCCCCACAACAAACATTTAACTGCTCTGCGTCAGGGTTGGCACCAGGAAACAGAGCAATGTTTTCGCTCGGGTGTTAAGCTTGCTAGGTGAATTTCATCTGAGAAGAAGATGAAATCTTACCAGAGAATGAAAACTATCAAGTGTTACTGAAGCGTGATGTCAGCGGGAGACCATTAGATCAGGGCAGCTTCTTACCTTGTGGTAGCTATCTTTTCTCCCTTTTTCCAGTCCCAAAATACAATACTGTGAAAATCGTCTAAACCAACGGACACCAGGCATTTTCCATCAGCTGTGTGAAAACAACACAAATGTCAAGTGGCTTGCTTCTTCCAGGACAAATCAAAACATTTTACATACTGTAAAGAGGAACAAAAAATTTGACTTTAAATTCTTTAAGCTCAAATACATTCGAAATATCATATCGGAAGGGACCTTAGAGGATGAAACGCAGGACCAGCAATAGTCGAACTTCCTAATGCATCATAACTGGTTATTGAAGTCCATTGCTGATTCCACTTTCAATCTGAGACACAGAGCTATGGCAGGGCTTCTCAGGTAAGTAACAAAAACACTTGTCTGTTTAGTGACTGACAGGTTTCCTGACATTCCCTGGAAGAGACATTTGGCTTTGTCACTCTTGGTCTATTTTCAACTCTAAAAAAATTGGCTTTGGTTTAATCCTCTAAAGCAAGGGCACTATAGAAACTAAATTTAGCTTCTAAGTTTCCTTTAAAAGATGATTTTACAATTAAAAAGTCTTGATTTCTTATTTCTCCTATTTCAAATGTAATACACTTATCACAGGACACTTGGAAAATATGGATAAAGAGAATGCGAATACCTTCCCATTTTCTAGGACCTACATTTGATATATATCTTACCACTCTTTTTCTATACATAAATGTGCTTTGAAAAAAATAAAACCAGGATCATAGCTCACCCATCATCTAATCTTTTTTCATCTATTATGTCATGAACATTTTTCCTTATTAAGTATTTCAATATTATCAATGATTTACTAGAATTTGGACAGAGGCCATTTAAAAAAAAATTAAAACATAGTGAATGTATAATTAAATTTGAAGTAAAAACAATTTTCTTTTTCCTTTCAAGACAGAAGAAGAGATACAATCAATAGCCATTTATTTGTTGCCTCCCTGCAAGGCTAGATTCAAAGGAAAAGCATCTCAAGGTTAACATTCCCCCCAAACCAGCTGTGCGGTTGCTAGGAGATGAGTGATCCAGCTCGCTTTGCATCAGTTTATCAGGGTCTTGTCTCGACATACCAGCCATTAGGGTTACAAACCAAATATGTGATAAACTGCTTCTCTTGAGTCTACTGGTCCACTCATTGTTAGTTTCAACAGCAGACCTGGGGTACATTCCAAATTAGGTTTGCCAGTCAAAATAAAGGAAGCTTTGTAAAATTGGAATCTCAGATACATAATGAATAGTTTCTTAGTATAAGTATGTCCTATGCAGTATTTATATCGTATTGTATATTTACACTTATATTGCCTGGAACATGTTTATATTAAAAAACTATTTGTTGTCTGTTTGAAATTTAATTGTGCCTCCTGTATTTTTATTGGCTAAATCTGGCAACTCTATCTCAAGTGCCAACCAATGCCCACCTTTTGAGTGCCCCTATTTATGCCAGAGACCCTCCGCTAACCAGATGGAATGGGGAGCTGCTCCTCCTTGTTTGGAGGAAGGAGGAGAATAAGGGGACAGAAGAAATTGCCTTAACCAGATCCTCCCCAAACTTCAACTAAGGACTAGGCAAGGATTTAAGGGCTAGGTCAACCCTTTCAAACTCCTAGGCAGGAGTATGAGATAAAGACATTAATACTTTCCTACAGGACTAAATAGCTATCAGGTGATTACTGTAAACAACTGATCATAATAAGTGCTCATGCTTAAAATGTTATCAGACTTTAAATTGGGTAAAAAACTCTTCATGCATATGGGACAAGAATTGGTAATGACATCCCATTCCCTACCAACACTATTACTTTTTCCTTATCTCTTGGTATGGCCTGGTTATGTTTCTGTTAGTGTGCCCCTGTGTTTGGTGATTTTATTTTTGTCATTTTCTCTCTCCCTTTTTAGACCATAAGTTGTTTTAAGGCTCATAGTAATTGTATCATGTTTCCTTCATAATTGTCATACTGAGCTGATTTTCAGTGACTGCTGACAGTGCTGGTGACACTAATGAGGACGATGACAAATACAGGATATGCCCGAAGGTGGTACAGAAATGTGCCACCTTATGTAGCTATAAAAACTTTGTTTTAATTATTATTCCTTCCAAAAACACTGCACAAATATTCAATGTCTTTTTTTAATATTCATTAATTCTATACTTTAGGCTGTCTTTGTGTGCGTGTGTGCGTGTGTGTGTGTGGGGGGGGTTTGCTGGGGATTGAACATAGGACCTTGTGCATGCTAGGCAGAAACTCTACCACTGAGCTATGTCTCCAGCTCTCAGGCTGTCTTTTCAAAACCATGGAGCTATATTAATATGCCCTTCATGGGATACAAGCATTTGCATATTTAAAATGACAATTTTTAAATTAATTTTAGAAATTTATATATGAGAGCGGAATGCATTACAATTCTTATTACATATATAGAGCACAATTTTTCATATCTCTGATTGTATACAAAGTATATTCACACCAAGTTTTTTAGGTTTTATTATGAAGAAGGCTAAACAGTAAGCTAATGTGGGAACAGCAGGGGGGAGATTTTTAGAATTTCTACAAGGCTCAATTAGCTTATCTTCACAATTATACCACCTTGACCCCCCACAAGAGTATCCTGATTATAGATGGCAACAGGAGAAACGGTACCATCCCAGAGGTACCTCAATAGCTACACCTCTTTTCAGAAATGGTAATTTGTTCTTGAATTCTGCAGGCGTAAACTATTTCTGCATGTCACAGAGTTTGGAATATGATTGTTTACCTTTTTATTTTCTTCTTGGTTTTCATTTCCCCTGCAGAGGCTTGACCTTAGCTTTGAATATCTATTGTTCCTTTTTTTAAAAATTTTTGGCCATACTTTTAGAGTCTAGGTAATGTCCTCTCAAATATTTCCAGTCACAGTGTGTATTAATTATGGATGGTTGTGACATAGTCCAGAAATAATTCTAAGGCACTTAATGTCAACAGTAAAGGGCAAATTAGAAAGAAATTTTTATTCAGACAATTACAAGTTGGTCCTCCTATTCTGAGCTCATAAAAAATGCATAGGTTTCTATAACTGAACACAATGAAATCAGGTTAGTCTTAGATGTGCTCTTATGGAAATTAGTATTAGTCCATAAATGTTTTAACACACACACACACACACACACACACACACACACACATATATACACACACACACACACACATATATACACACACACACACACGTACATATGATATTCAGGCTAGAAAGTATTTATGTGGCTGAATTTTAATATGACCTTCTATACATGGGGAAGCACTTTTGCTACCATTAGCACAAAAACAAAGATGGATTCCCCTTTCCTTAGAAAGTGATAATAAATCCAAGAGTTAAAAAAGCTGCTCCCTTAAGTGAGCTAGTTAATATACATTCACTCCTGTCCATGTAATCCAGAATTATGTATCATATTGCAAGGGATGTTTGGTTTAAATGTCTTTTGTTTGCTTTGGAAAAGTGGCCAAAAATAGACAAAATACTTTTGTGTAAATGTTTATTTGTTGTCTTGTTTTCACATCATTTGTCTGCTTTATATTTCCAGGACAGTTTATTTCTCTAACAAAAGGCAAAGTACTATTAGCAGGTCTCTGTGAGACCCCCAAAAGGAGATGACTCATAAAAGACAGGTGGCTGTAGGGCTACTGAGGCACACAGATGGGCTACCAGCCAGATAACCAATGAGCGTTCTGTGGGTGCCTCGTTTACCTGGTTAAACAGGCAAATCTAAACAGTGTCTTGTGATTTGGACTTAGCTACCCACTTTCTATCAGTTTCCACAAGGGAGGTAGAGTTGCCCCTGTTCCTGCTTCAGATCAGTGTGTGATTCAGGGCTGTTCCAGAACAGGGGTCTCTTTTCACTGGGCAAGGGGACTGTTCCAGTGGTAGTTTCTGTGCATCCTGGTACTTCTCCACATTTAACCTTGAGGATGGAAAGGACAGCTGGAGACACCTGCTGGTGGGGATGTGAAGTGGCGAAATGAGTGAGCTCACCCAATGCTCTGGTGGAAGGCAGGGGGCAGGAGAAGTCCCAGAGACCAAGAATAGAGAATTCTCTGCATACCTCTTGCCAACTGACAAACCTGGGTCTGGTGGATATCATGCTGGACTGAGAGCCAGGAGACCTGGGTTCTATCTCTGGATCTGCCACTGTTGACTGTCAGACAGGGCATGCCACCAAACTCGCCATCTCCAGTCTTGGCTAAGAGATCTAAGTCTAAAGTTACATTGTTGTAACACAAAATGCTATTAATAGAAAAATTAAACCAAAGAGACCGCGACTCTTTCAAGCCTTGCCATAGGAACTCAAGGATCCATCAACTATCAGTAATCATCTGTATGTAACCACTTGTGGTGATGAATCACACACAACAGACCTGGGTGGACGCTTTCCTGAATAGTCCTTCCTATTAATTGCTTTCCAAAACCACCAACTAGATTCCTTTCTACCATTGATGTATGAACATCATTCTTAACCACTAAAACAAAAACGTAATTCTCCATGATCAAAAATAATATATTTGCTGAATAAATGGGCCTTTCCCTAGTGATTGTTATCTGGAAAATAGACTTTCTTATTAAGGCTGAAAAGCTCCTCTTATAAAGAAATATTTCATATCTAAGAATTTCTTTTTTGCTCATGATACAAGCAGGGAGAGAATCAGCTTCTCTCTCTCTTCCTGGGGTATTTGGTTTCCTTACCCAGACAATCATTTGAAGGGTGGCCTTCTGAGGGAGGGATTTCTAAACTCAATCTTTTGCTCTTTCTTCTCTAAAACTAATAGGCCCAGGAGAGGGGTGAGCTCCCTAAAATGCAGAGGCAAGCTACTGGGGTACCAGCTCATCACTACCAACTCATCTCATAATTAATGTCTTCGATCAAGACTCTGCTCATCCTTTTCTCTAAAGGTATTGGAACTCTGAGTTCTTTTGAGTCTTCTAAATATAAAACCCAGAACACTAAATCAATTCTATAGAAGAAATAGTCTAATGATTATATTCTATTTATTTTATTCAAAATTTGCTACTCTATATGTGAACACACACATTTTCATATAAAATCAGTGATGGATGCTATTTTGAGTTCAATTTATTCTTTTTACTTGATACACAAAAATATGCAAGAAATACAGTTTGCATACTTGACACTGTAAATTACAGTTCTTATTAAACACTGACAAATTGTTTGCTAGAAATATTGAGTCAATTTCCAATGTCACCAAAACATGGATATACTGGATTTTCATAATCCTGTTACCATTAGGTTTTTTAATTTACTTGTTTATTTATTTATTTATTGGGTACTGGAGATTGAACTCCGAGGCACTCAGACACTGAGCCACATCCCCAGCCGTATTTTGTATTTTATTTAGAGACAGGGTCTCACTGAGTTGCTTAGTATACCTCCCTGTTGCTGAGGCTGGCTTTGAACTCTCGATCCTCTTGCCTCAGCCTCCCAAGCTGCTAGGATTACAGGCATGTGCCACCGTGCCTGGCTGTTATTTGTTTTTGATTCTGGGGATTGAATTGAGGGGCACTTTGCCACTGAGCTACATCCCCAGCTCTTTTTATTTTTTGAGACGGGGTCTTGCTAATTTGCGGAGACTGGCCTCAAACATGCAATCCTCCTGCCTCAGCCTCCATAGTCGCAGGGATTACAGGTGTGTGCCACGACCCAGTTTGTTAGTTTTATTTAATTTTGGTACTTTAGTGGGTACCTCACTTCTCTTCTGAAGTATACTTACATATACATATGTAGCCAATAGAAAAATCAATTTTAGGAAGAAGGTAGTTCAGCCATTGAAGAATAAGATTTGGGCTGGGGTGTGGAGAAGCAGAGAGGATTCATTCATCTTTGGGATAGAGTCACATACAAACAAAAATTATAGTTTCTTTTTATATTTTACTGCCTTATCAATGATACAAGGCACACCTACTTTAAAATTGCATGTCCATCAAAACTTTCAAAGGACTTTGTATTCACTGTTTATCAAGGGTGTCACCCTTGCATTAAGCTTGTAGGTAGGCATGGTTGGGCAGCTCTTTGTACCTCCACACTCCTAACTCCTATCATATACCCAGCAGTGTAGGCACAAACTATTGAGCCCTGATTTTACTAACTTAATAGCCATAGAAGGTAGTGAATAACTCCTAACAATGACATAACAACTCAGATTTGTTGAGTAATTTGCAGGACGTTAAGAATATGCATGTTACCAAAACAAAATACCGCCTGTGTGGCACTGGTCAGGGAATGCAAATATTTGTCATTCAACATGATTTACAATGTGAAGTTCTAGAAGTAACAGTGAGAGGTAAGGCAAAGCTCATTAAGCAAGATCTCATTTGTTCATTCATTTACAGCATTTTTTGAATGGCTTCTATGTCTATAATACTGCAATATGTGTGGTGGGAAAATACAGAGGGCTCTCCCGCCCCTGTTAGCTTACTGTGTGTGAGGGCAAAGGAGGGCAGTACTACAAGGACTCTGACAGGTGCTACTAAAGCAATGACAACAATGAACTACAGTTTACAGAAGGAGGACAGGTTATTTCTGCCTTGAAGGATGTAGGAGAAAACATTCAGTTGGTCTTAAATGATGGTGGGACTTGAATGGACATATGGGAAAGGCCTGATGGTTGAAGAGAGGTAGGGGAGGACTGGTGTGAATGGAGATTCTGCAGCGAAGTGAATGTGGAGGAGCAAGAATGGGTAAGTGAGTGAAAATGCTGCAGGAGAAGGTTGAGGCCGGATCAGGAAAAGCCAAGCACTTTCAACCTGGGGAGTCGATGGCAGCAGCGGTAAATATGCTTCCAGAATGAGCAGGGATGGAATCCAAGCCTATGGCATTACTATGGGCAGAGGAGGCGAGGGCTGGTTCAAAGGGAACAGAGAGGGAGGGACCTACCAGGGGAAAGAGGTTGTAGAGCCATGGGATTTAGAGACAGACTAACCATGCACACATTGAATAACAGCATCACTTCCAAATGTAAACACCTGGATGGTATTTAGAAAATTCGGTTTTACATAGATGGTTTAGGATTTCTTTCCTACTAATCCCTATAATTGAAATGATTAAAAATGTGTATGTACTAACATATTTCATGATAGATCCTCAATCTTGAATTCTAGTGTAAAAAACACTTACATTGCATATTGGCATCATCTCTCTTTTTTCTCTTTGGGGACACAAGAAGCAAGTTAATTGTTTTTCTGTCTTTTTCCTTTTGCAAACTTATTTTTTTTTAATGACTGTAAAAGGGCTTTTATAAATTCCCACTTGAATAAAAGAAATTGCATTCGTCAATTAGTATTTTTATAAATACTGTGTTCAAATTTTAAATCGAGGAGAGAAAAGCTTTAGTTCTCATTTTTCAACATGAAATTTATTTCTAAAATACTAATATTATAAAGTGCTCCTCTGCAGAGGATTTGCAGCCTCCCTTCTGGTTCTTTATATTTCAAGGCAGAAACAACATGCTCCCACTTATCTGGAGATGAAATTGATGTTCTGAGTCACTGCCAGACATTTGCAACTAAGACTTCCAATGGCAACAGCTGCTCTGGATTTCAAATTGCTCAAGCAAACACAGAACTCAGTGTGAGCTCTGGGTAATGACTTGGGAGAGGAAATTCGGAAGACAAGGAAAGGATGTGTAATCTAAAGGCCACATTTTTGGGTGAGGTATTCACAATATGACTCCCAGCCTCAGATTGTGTAGTTGACACACGGAGAGCATACCTCATTACAGATAGAACTCAACCAAGTACTTGAAAATAAAATTAAATGTAGGCTCATCTGTCAATGGCTCTAATGAAAAACTGGTGCTCACCTGAAAAATCGAGCGCACACACTCCTCTCTGATGTTGTCCTTTCAATAGTGACAAACATTTTAGAGTCTGTGTGTCCCACACATGAATAGCAGCATCTCTTCCAACCTTAAACAACAGGATGAGTGTTATACACAATTTATGAAATTACAATTTGGTTCCTTAGAGTCAAGTACTGCTTAGAAAAGAAATGCATGTTATTTAAAAAGTGGGAAGACTTTGGAAATAATTTGGTCCACTTTATTATTTTCCAGATGAGGAAATTGAAGCCTGAAGCATCTAAGGCTTGTCATGGCACCAAGGTGGATTCCAACAAAGCCCCGTCCTGGTGTGTGGCTCCAAGTTAAGGGACTTTCAGAACCCCACTTCAAATGTCCAGTTGTACTTCCCCATCTTTTTGAACTCAGAGGCACTCTATCACTGAGCTATATCCCTAGCCCTTTTTTATTTTGAGGTGGGTTCTTGCTAAGTTTCTGAGGCTAGCCTTGAACCTGTGATCCTCCTGCCTCAGCCTCCTAGATACTGGAATTACCGGCATGCACCATTGCATGCAGCCACTGGAGCTTTCCGTCAGTTACTTCTACTTTTCCCTCTCCTGCCTTCTCAATGTCACAAGTGAGGAATCCACTTCTCAGGCAAGAAATTCACCTGGGTGCTGTCAGGTCACTATAAAGAGTTCCTCTACCAAGCTGGGGTTGTGGCTCAGTCCTCAGCAGTACATGGAAATAAATAAAATAAAGGTATTGTGTCCATCTACAACTAAAAATATTTTTTAAAAAATAATTTCTTTACCCATTCTCAATGATTTCACCCACCTCTAGAAGGCTGGCCCTGACCCTTACTGAGAAATAAGTTTCATAGCTTGACTCTGTGTCATTGAGATAGATTGTCCTTGCAAGGTTATAAGCTTTTATCCTGTGAGGTTCAACAACAGAGCAAATTATAATAGCAAAGTAGTTTTTCTCGCTTACAGTACGGGGGGGGCGGGGAGACACATGACTGTTGAATCTGATGACTCCAAAAGAGAAAAGCCATAGACATAACTGAGTAGAACCCAGGCAACTCCTACATTGGTCTATGGAGGTCCAGCCCCCGTCCCCCAGCAATGGCTGCTGGCTTCCTCTTTGCCTCTCACCAGTTGCAATACTGAGTGTCCTACCTCCTTGCAGGTGAGTGCCAAGAACCAATCTCTGATTCTTACTTTCAAAGGTAAGTTATTAAATACCCCTGAGATAAGTTTCATCCATTTGTGAGACAGACAAGAAAATAAGTGCCGGTGAGAAGGCAAAGTAATGCTCAATCAGTTGTAAGATTTACTAACTCACAGCAGAGCTTCTCTAATTTGCGGCTGGAGGGACAGCAAATCAGCATGGAGACAAGTGGTTTAGACCTCCGGGAGATTATAATCTCTTTATAAAAAAAAAATACTAAAGCTATGGATGTTTCTCTCTCAAAAATGGACATTTCTGGGATTTGACTCCCTTCATGCTCTCAATCTCAGCCTTGGATCTCATGCACCTCAGATATGAAACCACATCTGAAACAATCCCACATTCACTGATTCCTTAGCTTCCTGCCTCTTGTTTACTTCTACCAAGTATTTTTTTCTTCTTCTTCTTTGCATTTCTAAGACGTAAACTGGATTCATGTTCACATGAATGCCCTCTCTCTTGGGTGAGGCCCTCAGTCTTGGAGGAGAGATACATACCTGTCCAGTGGCCACGTAGTCCTTCACCGGATGGATGGTCAGGCTAAGAATATCATCATCATGCCCCAGGTACAGCCTCTGGGAATGCTGTTGCCTGTTGTACACGACAGCAACTGCGGCAATGTGGTAGACCACCTCCCCAGCTTGTGTGTAGAACAGATTGTTTCTACAGTCGTAGCCTCTGTAACTGAAGCACAGGCCCAAGACATGCACAGGGTTGAATGCACAGAAACTGAACAGGGTAGGAGTTATCAGAGGCAAACCAAACACACGGACGCAAGTGGAACCCCACGTGTCTCCACAGGCTAGAAATGTCAAATGGGGTACAAGGACCCCTAAAGGCCTGGGATGCCTTTCTAGGAGGCACATGGGCACTGATCATTTTTACAGAGCCGTTTCAGGATCCTCAGCTACTGTGTATGCTCTTTCTTAAAACTGATCTCAGAACAGGCCTGTGGTTATTAGGCGCAGGCCTTCCCTCCCCATCTCTCCTCCCACGATGTCCTCCCTCTCACTTCAAGAAGCCATTTCTCTCCTCCATGTGGAATCACAGCATGGTGTATTACTCTGGGACCCAGAACCTTCTGGGACACCAACACAGACAATTCAAAATAATTAAGGGAAAACTCTTAATTATTGCCAAGGGACCCTTTTGTACAAGTGATTTCCAATGTTTTTGCTTTATAACAAAACTGATCAGAGACTTAACTGAATTGTTAGCTGATGGGTCACTATTTCTTGTGATATATCAAAATCAAAATGTGATTTTGGAGCTGGGCATGGTGGTACACACCTGTAATCCCAGCAGATTGGGAGGCTGAGGGAGGAAGATCCCAAGTTCAAAGACAGTTTCAGCAAAAGTGAGGTGCTGAGAAACTCAGTGAGACCCTGTCTCTAAATAAAATACAAAATAGGGTGCGGGGTGTGGCTCAGTGGTTGCGTGCCCCTGAGTTCCCTGAATTCAAACCCTGGTACCAAAAAAAAAATGATTTGGGGGGTCTATAATTCAGAAAGAGTTTATAAAGAACCGAACAACTTTGCCATGATAAAAATCACTTTCATTCTCACTTACTTAAAAAAAATTTTTTTTATTACACATGGACATGTTACCTTTATTTATATAATTTTATGTGGTGCTGAGGCTCAAATCCAGTGCCTCACACGTGCTAGGCAAGTGCTCTACCATTGAGCTACAACCCTAGCTCCCATTCTCATTTATTTATGAGAATAAACTCAGTGTTTACATCTATAAAAAGAAAAAACATGGGGATAGAGTGAACACTAAACTCTGCCACATTCTAGCAATGAGTAATCTACATGCACAGATAACTGAATAGAAAACAATTCATCTCTTTGAAATAAATCTAATAAAGTTTTTGGTGCTTAACAATTATCATAGTTTATAATATTTTTATATTGATTTGGTCATTTTTACTAATAATTATAACAATTCAATCTAAAAAAGTAACAGAACTGCATTGTCTAATAGAAATACAATGCAAGCCACATAGTCAAGTTTTCTAGTTGCCATATTAAAAATAATAAAAATATCCAGGTGTGGTGGCACATGTCTGCAATCCTTGAAACTCAGAAGGCTGAGGTAGGAGGATCACAAGTTTGAGGCCAGCCTCAGCAATTTAGTGAGACCCTGTCTCAAAATTAAAAAAAAAAAAAAAGAAAGAAAGAAAGAAAAGAAATAAAAAAAGGGCTGGGATTGTAGTTCAGTGGTAAAGTACCCTTGGTTTCAATCTTTAGTATTATACACACAAAATTTTTAAAAATGAAATTTATTTTAAGATATATTTTTAACCTAACACATTTCCATTTAAAATATGATATAAAAATATTTTAATGAGATATTCTATCTTCTTTTTTTCATCCTAAGCCTTTAAAATAGGTGTCTTACCCACACAGCATATCTCATTTCGGACTAACTATATTTGAAGTGCTTGCTAACCATGTGGGGCAGTGGATACGTATTTCACAGAGTTATGGTCACAAGAAATGAAATTTTAGTTGAATGTGTAGACTTTTTTCTCCTGGTACAGTTAAAAAGACTCAAGCAAAAAAAAAATGTTAAGGTAAAATTTTATGAAAGGGTTAGAATGGAGAGAGGAGTATAAGTAGAAATATAAATGATGTATAAAGTATTATGTGGTAGAAGCATTGTTCATTCCCCGTTATCAATTTTAAAAGTCCATGAAGTATTCTGGCATTTAAGTTCCTCTGGGTTCACTCAGATGACTGGTGTGAATGTTCATATAATATTTTTCTCCACCATTGAAACTTACATTGAAACCTTTCGGGGGAGACTTCAAATGGGCAAAGTCATAAACAATTTCACAAAATTTAAAATCATTTTAGGCATAGGTGAGAACAATATTTGAGAATTTACTGTCCTAAACTAATGCCAGCCAAACAGAACAGGGGATTGGGGGAGAGAGGAAACAGGGATGGCCGTGACCAGCTGCCACAGATCTATGGGAAGAACACTAAGCCTAGTGTCCACCGCAGTGTGATGGCCCCGGTGCACTGAGGAAACTGGAAAGGGTCACAGTTAAAACGTTAGCCCCAGGTCTGTGAGCAAACTGGGTACAAGGCACCAGAAAGAGGGACCTCTTTCTCTTGGAGGTAAGGCTGATGACACGCTCGGCAGAGATGACGAAGGAGCACAGGTGCCCAGGGCAGGCCACCCACCCGTGTATGAACTGGAGCTTCAAGCTATCCTCAGGAGCCTTCTCCCGCTTGAGGAAGGGCATTGCATGGTTTTTCTCTTTACTTTGTTGCTTTAGCTGAGGTAGATCTTCTTTGTAAACCTGAAAAGTACAACAGAGTCATTCCGCTAAGATGCCTTTTCCAGGTTTCAGAACATCAACATCTTGACATTGTTGCATGGATTGAAGCTTCAATAAATGGTTTTGAAAACATAAGACGTAATATTGAATACTATTTCCTCTTAATGAGCAAAATAACATGAAATATTTTCCAAATGACTGGAATTTTAAGTAATTTCTTCCCCTCTTATTTGTTATTATTTTTCTTAGGTATATTATGTCCAGAAAAATATACTAAGTTGATATATTAGTAAACAAAATAAATTTTCAATAAAATATATTTTTACTTCTTCTGAAGTAAGAAGTCTCTTGATTCTGACATTTGCAAAATGGGTCATTTTTGAGTCATTTTTTCCCCTCGGATTGCCCTCTGGAATTCTTTTCCTTTCATGGCCTCATACATCCTGACAGACCAGATCCTTAGATCATGATGTTTTACCAGGTCAATTATTTACTTCCTAGCACTAAATCCTAGGGTATTTCTGCTGCTTATTTGATCAAGTCTTGTAGCTTCTATGGGCCTCAATTTCCCATCTGTAGAACAGAATGAAAGTCCCTGCTCAGAAATAACTCAGGAATGCTGAAAGCATAAAACCAAATAATAGGTAAAAGCACTGACAGATAAGACGTCAGGGAGAATCCATAAGTCCTGGGCATGCATTTCAATACCATCATATCTTTTCGTTTTTTACTACCATCATTTCATTAAATAAAAACTGTCCATCTAAGCAAAATGGCTTCACCCCCTAAATCTAACATTCACTTTGTTTAAATTTCATTACCCCTTGATGTCAGGGTATGTTGTTTAAGTGTTTGCCTGATAGTCCCACGTTAATCATTTCCCTTCAAATCCATCTCTTCAGTGGTGGTACTGCATAATGCATCCATCAATACGTAGTCCAGCTGATTTAATCACGAACTTGACTGGAACCGTAAGTTGGACCGCCTTTGAACTAATCCAGTTTCTCAAACACGAAATCAGTGAGTGATGATTATAGGCAGGAAAAAGTGTAATCATTTGAAAAGCAGTAAATCCAGGTGCTGATATAGAGGCAAACCAAGTAGTGCACAGAATATATGCTTTGGAGAGAAACCTAGATCAGGATTCCTTTTCCCCACCTTTCCACATTTTTTATTGGTGCATTATAGTTGTACATAATGATGTGATTTGTTATTACATATTCATTCATGCACACAAAGTAACAATAGAATTTGGCTAATACCATCTCTCAGCACTCTTATGCTAAGAGGACGGTGATGTGGAAGTGGGCAGATCCCCTAACCTCTCAGGTGCACAGTAGCTGCCACCTGCCTATCTGGACAACACTGAAATCTGACATCTTATTCAGTTCACATTCATGTATAGAATCTGCTTAACATACCTTTAAAAATGACAGGGAAGAAAACAAACCCTAGGGACATCACCATGACAAGGTGGTGAGTGTCCAGATTCCTCTGAAAGACTGTTTTCTTTAAAAATCACTCTTTAGTGCTAAACAGTGATGAAATGTCAACTTCCAAGAAAACTGCAGGCAACTGACCAACTTTTCTATGAGATATGATCTGACTGGAGAAAGAATGCATGTTGTAATTTTGCTTTTACTTTAATTAAATGGACAATGGTTGCCATAAGTTAGGAGACCAATGAGGATAATAGCCATGTGCAAACTATCTTGCAGGTACTCATCCTGAAAATACCAGCTTTCACAATTTACTAAGAAAATGAAAAACTTGTGGCTTAACAAGTTGCTGACTTTAATAAAGATTATCTTCTGCTTAACATGCCACCAAGTGCTGGTATTTCTTTGTTCTGAAAAAAAATAGTTGTAAGTTTTAGCCGTGTGCAGTGGCACACAACTGTAATCCCAGTGGCTCAGGAGGGGAGGATCATAAGTTCAAAGCCAGCCTCAGCAACAACTAGGCACTAAGCAACTCAGTGAGACCCTGTCTCTTAATACCAAAAAAAAAGAGGGGGCGGAGGGCTGGAGATATGGCTCAGTGGTTGAGTGCCCCTGAGTTCCATCCCCAATAGCCACCCCCCAAATATATATATGCATATATATTTATAAATTTATAAGTTTTAGATGGAAGACACTGGGCAAAAAGGCCAACTATTATGGGCTCAGTTTTGGAACTTTGCAACTACCTTCCACTTAATGTTTTTAATGATCTAAAAAGGCAAATGCTTTATTTTAAGATTGCATTTAAAGGCAAGAAGTAGTCAATTTTTCTTATTTTTGGCATTATTCTCTTCTACGTAAGTCCCGGCCATTTTCAGCAATGTCCAGATCTAAGGAGATCCAGGCTCCAGGTTACACATTTTTTT